ATCTTCAGGGTTAAGGAGAAATATTGCACAAAATGCTGCAGCTCTGTGTCAGTAATTGGTTGAAAGCTTTTCTTGGGTATCCTTCCTCAGTGCAGCACTGCTGCGTGCACTTTCAAGACTGTTTTTCCTTGTCCTGTCGTGCTGTATGTGCTGGCCTTCACTGCTGCTCCAGCAGTAGGTGCCCGGGGGCCGCACAGTCGGGTCCCAGGCGCGACTCTTGGTGTCACATCACCAGAGCGCCATTCCCCAGGCAGGCTCTGAGCTGGCTGGGGACATGAGCAYGTCTTCCAAGGGATTTCTGAGGGTTTGCTGGGAGTTTGTATGTGAGGCCTAGACTGGATTCAACTTAGGCACTGGAGCTTGGCCTCCTATGTCAGGTCGCTCTGGGATGGGGTTGTGTGTCCAGACGCACACGATRGGGCTTTCAGCACCTTCGCAGCACAGTCCCGGCGAGGGCCACCRCTCAGTTGCATCCGTCTCTCTGCTTAATATCAGTAGATGGTAGAGGCATTCTCCCTCTCTCCTTTACCAGCGGGCCATCCGTGAGGCTRAGGTGGTCAGTGCAGGAGCTGCACGACCCAGTATTGCAGAGGATCCAGCTCACACCAAGGGGCCTTCTTGGAGGTCACTGAACTTTGATTCCTCTAGAAGTCATGGCCCTGCATTGACTTCAGACCAGTRTCTAACTCTTCTAACATGGTCTCAGAAGCCCTGAGGACCTGTCTTACCGCTCACCAGGTTCTCGGGGAACGTTGGATCACGCAGGTCTCCAATGCCAAGGAGCATAACTGCTTGTCTTCACAGCAGTGTGGTTTACGATGGTACCATTTGTCAGCGCTCGCCTTGCTGCAGTGAACAGCTGCTTCCAGAATCAGGTATCCCTGCGTTTACTCTTGGGGTGGCTGCTCCCAAGGGAGTGCAGTGCGGGAGGCCAAGCGTGAGCAACAGGTCACATTGTTGCCCATCAGCACTAGCGTTTGGTGCTGGGGTGAAAGCAAGGCAAATGTGTGCAAAATGCCAAGGCCGCATCCGTCCGCCGTCCACAGCTGGCGTGTCTTACGGTTGCACTTAATGATCTCGAAGGTCTTTTCCAACCATAATGATTCTTTGAATCCATGGTCTCGGGGCGCCAGCCTTTGCACGGAGGTTTAACGCGAGCCGCCCTTTCCCGGCGAGCGCCCTGCCCGAGGCCCCGGGCGCCCCTCGGGCTGCGGGGCCGGCGGCGCGCGCTGCCGGCGGGGCCGGCTGCTGCGGGGCTCGGTGCAGCTGCGGCGGCACCTGCGGCGCGGGGCCCAGTGCGGAGCGCCCGGGCGGCGGCGCGGAGCGGAGCGGCCCCGGCCCGGCCCGCGCGCGGATTTACAGGCGAGCGGCGCCGCTCGGATTTGGGGGCCGCGGCGGCTCCTCCATGGAATTCACCTGAGCGCGGCGCGAGCCTCGACGGCGCCCGCTTTGTCTCGCAGGAAGAGCATGACTTTTTGAGGCGAAACAAGACGGGGGAAAGCAAGGGAAACATAAAGGAAAAGAGCGAAGGAAGGAAGAGGAGCGGCCGCCGGCAGATGCGCCCCGCCGGAGCCGGGCTGCCCCGCGGAGGGAGGTGCGTGTGGGCGGCCCGCGGCCGCTGCGGGGCTGGACGGGGCCGCCGCCGCCGCACATGGTTTTCTTTGTCCTGCTGCTGCTTTATTAGCGCTCCGCGGCCGCCACGCTCGCGCACCCCCTCCTGCTCCCTCCTCGCAGGGAACCATCTTGCAGGGAGCAGCGCGGGGGGGCTCTCTCGCAGGCAGCGCGCCCGCCCGGGACGCGGCCCCCGAAGGGCCCGGGGCCCCGCGCTGCGAGTCCCGCGGCTCCTCCGCGCCGCGGGCCGCCGGCAGGTAACGGGCCGGGCCGCAGGTGCGCGGGGCGCAGGGGCCGCCTGGGCGCTGCGCGGCGCGGAGCGGCGCGTTGCTGCTGCCGTGCGCGCAGCGAGCGAGACGCGCTCCTCTCGGGCGTTTTTGTTCAGCGCCCGGAGTGCCGTCGGCTTGGGCTCGGCTTGGGCTCGGCTTGGGCTCGGCTTGGGCTCGGCTTGGGCGCGGGCTGGCCGGGAGCGCGCTGGTCGGGGAGAAGGGGCAGAGCGGCCGGCAGGCAGCCGGGCTGGTGGCTTCCAAGCGGACGTCGCTCCTGGCTGCGGGCTCGAGGAGGGAGCGCGGCTGCCTTGGGAACTCGTGGTGGGCGCCGGGCGCTGGAGAAGCTGCGAGCGGGGTTAGTCCCGGGGCCAGCAGCGCCGAAACAGCAGCGGGGCCTCCTGCTCTCGCRGTGCCCTGGCCGCTTAGTTCTGAAAGCAGCAGCAGTTGCATCAAAAATAGCTGATGCGGCGTTGCTTGCTGGCAGAGGTGATGGTGGTTCTCGTTCTGTCCGTTGTGCGCTGACCGCTGTTGGTGTCTCGTGTTTAAACCCGGATTTGGAAGTAGTCAAAKGGAGAGGCAAAGTTTCCCCCCTTGGCTCGAGCCGTGGAGGAGGCTGTTGGTTATTTGTGTGGTAGACTACGGGCAGCCTTGGTTTTCAGGGAGTTGCTGTTGTGTTCAGCGTCAGAGTCGGTAATGCAAAAGGCCCGTTGCTTTGTGGCCACCTTTGTCTTTGGGAAATTATGCCTATTTTATATTTTTATATACAAATATGTACATTTATTTGCGTGGTGTTCTGCTGATGGTATYGATGCCTGGCTCACGAGTGATGCTCCTGCCCAGCGCATTGTGCACCGCGCTTTGCTAGGAAGTGCCGCTCGGAGACTGCACGACAGCCCTTCTTGCCGTTCAGTACAATAGCAAGGGGAAGATCTGCCTGGAAAGAAAATCTTAAGCTTCACAAAAATACGTATCCATTTACTTCTGGCGTTAGTGCAAACTTCTTAAATGTCCCCCCATTTGCCTCCTGCTGTTGTTTGGAAAAAAAGAAGGGACTAGGAAGCGCACAGCTTCCCTGTGCTACTTCATATTGGAACAGTAGAATGAATAATAATTTGAAACTATGAGAAGGTGGTGGTTTTTGTTTGTAGTTTTATATATATACACACATGCACGCATTATGTTTTTATATATATATAAATATATATATATATATAAATGTGATGGGTTTTATTTTTAGAAGAAATAATGGTTTGGAGAGCCCTGGCTTGTGAGGGGCGCTATGTATGAAAAGGCAACAACAGGCGAGATTCACTGGGCAAGGTTGTTATTTTTAATCAGAGCAGGCTGATTGGCAAGAGTCTGAAAGCACCGAGCTCCTCTTAATTTGTTGGACTAATGCATCGGACTGCTCTTCAAAGCACGTGGCCTTCTTGATCTCCTCAATTTGTACTTTATTCACATATTTTCATTAATTTAGAGAAAGTCATCACTGAATAATAAATCCATCACTGGGCAGTAAATCCAGTGTTTACAAGGTATTTAATCGAGGAGAAATACACCAGCTCAGCTTTTAGCTAAGCCAACAGTAATCTAGCAAAATCTGTTTAGAAGTCTGAGAAAGAGTAAAGCCATTTTTAATAATTAATCACAGAAATGTTTTGTGTTGTTAACTTGAGGGCAAGGAAATGATTTCAGTGTAGCATTATAGTATAACGTGCGATCAGAACTGTACYGACTTACCTGCTGGTAATTTCACAYCTAAATTCTAATACAGTAGAGGTATTTAATGTACCGTGTTTGTTTGTGTTCCTCTTCTTGGTCTTAAATTTAGCAATTCTTCCCTTCCAACAAAAAATGCAATCTGCTTTTCAAATATACGATACTTTCTTTTTTTCTTTTTTTCTTTTTTTTTTTTTTTTCTGAATCCAGTGAGAATGCTGTTCTGTATCCGTGAGAAAAACAAGGCTAAAATGTTTCTGAAATGTTGCATTTTTTTCCATTTGCAGTATTTTACTCCTAAGCACATTTCTTTCTGTTGCATTTTCAAAAAGCAGAGCACTTCTCCACAGTATTGTATCTAAAATATAGTTCAAATTTGAACAGCTAGCTGTGTTTTATGATGCAGATATAGTTTAAGTTTATGCTTTAGGTGCATATATAAATATGTGTGTGTGCACATACGCATCCGTATGTAGATGCCTCAACTTCATTCTTTGTATTTTTGGAATCAAGACGTTTGCAAAATTAACATTTGCGGTGTTATCTTCTATGGTCTGTTTTCTTACCAGTATAGGTTTTGAAAGAAGGGCCCCACCATTTATGTATGAAACTTAAATAAGGCTTTTAAGTAATAGGTAAAAAAAGATGAAGTAAAATCCTTATATACAAATAACTCTAGTAGATAAGAGACTAACACAATTTGAGGAGGAAGAAACTGCCCACAGATCAAGATAACAAGATTAGAAATAAAATGGATTATTTGTTTGGCTACAGACTGTGGTGTCTAGAATCAGTTATTGTGACGGAGGAAAAGCCTATGTGGAAATGTTACTGTTAAATACTAATAATAGCTTTCTTTTTCGAAGAATATAGAAGAGCAGTTCATAGAATGATCATTCTATCAACTCTGTTTAGAAGATAGTAAAAACCATATGGCCACCACAGGAAGGAGTTTTCCAAAATATTTATAAAAATAAAAAAGGGGGGAGAAGAAAGAAGCGCCCAGTTCTGAAAATTCCTGAAACTGGGTTTTTGATTCCAAGTCGTGACTCTTCTCAATTGCCAAATCAATGTCGAAATATATTGGATAATTACAGTTACAAAATGTAGTTTGTGTGCAGCTAATATGTTGAATAAAAAAAATCATTTCTTTTCTTATTAAATAGAACCTTTCCAAATAAATATCTGCACTGCAGGGTGGCCAAGCACAGCCAAATAGCACCACCTTATGGCCGTGTTCTTCGGAGGCTGCAGCTTGCCTTAGTGCTCTTGGTTTTGTGACACGATCTTTCTCATTTTTAAAATTATAGGTGCACGTACCTGTGTATATAAATATACAGGCACATCTTTTGAAACGTAACACTTGTCAAAAATGTAACTTTTTTTTTATTGGTCTTTCAGGCATCTGATGCCAGCTCTGAAAAACTGTTCAACGCTGTTACAAATAAAGGTAAGACTGCAATTCCCATCGCAAACATGTTTTCCCCCATACATTTCTTTTCATGGCAGTTTCAATGGGAGATGAAATGTAACTTGTCTTGCAGAAATGTCGCAATCAGCTTGTTAGCGCTTTTTATGTTTCTCTTGGTTTCAGACATGTTCTGTATGCTTGGTAATTGCTTTGCTTGAGCAATATAATATAAAGGCTTTAAATAATGCATTGCCTGCCAGGTCAGAATTAATTTAAATAACAATATTAGGAATAGTTTATTTTACAAATGGCTTTAATTTAAGCTCATTTAAATAACTGTAAGAGTTTTCAAAATGTTTTAACTTGATTGTTACTCATCAGCTACATGATAGACGTGGAATTATGAATAGCCAATTTGCGCTGCTGACAGTAATAACCAGCCAACGTTTAGTATTCACAGGATAATAGTCATAAACCATGGCTTACTGTGCTGTATGCTTTCCGTAAAGTTAATAAATGATATAGAGGGCCACATTTAAATATTCAGTATYCCATTAATTTCTTCGAAACAGCAATATGAAGAGAGAGTGGCTAATGATATAACAGTACRTTAAGGGAAAACTTACCCTAAATCAGTGCCAGAAAGCTTCAGTGCAGAGCGTATCGTGAAGCAGCGTTATTAGGAAGCCTGTAGGCTTTGGAGATTTTATAATTTCTTTCTTTTCCTCCCGTGAGGAGGGTTGARGAGCAGCCCTGGATGGGGGTTGCGCCAACGGGCACCGTCCAGAGCCTTTAAAGTGCCTCAGTGCATCGTCTCCTGCCTTTTCCAGCCCGCCGCGAGTGGCTGTGCACAATAACTGCTCAGGGCCAGGTCTGCTCCCAGCTCGAAACCCACGCGATTTTAGCCTGCTGATTTTTTTGGGAGGGGAGTCTGGGCTATGAAGTACGGATTTAATTTGAGCTTGGATTTTGATACCCTCTGTTGACCGGTGTGGATGTACGTAGTTGTTTGCCCTCGGCGCTTCTCGTGCGGTTTGGGCTTGGGGTTTTCCMGTGGGTCATCGTAGTGCTGTTTGTTTGTTTGTTTTATTTTTTATTTTATTTCATTGTACTTTTTAATGCAGGAAGCCCTTTAAGTGGAGACAGCTCTGTGACCCCATTACATTTGGGATTCCCCTGCCTAGTGAAATTTGGAGGAAGGAGGAAAACAAAAACAAAGGGGAAAAAAAAAAGGGGGGGAGGACTTGTGTGTTTGGACTGACCCAAGGCCCCGAAACTACATGTGACTGCATCTTTATTTTGCTAATTTGCTGTAAAATGCTTTGGCATTTGAGGCGGCCTTTTTGGGGCTGGGCCAGGGGAGAATAGGAGCCGGGTGGTGAATGGACATTCCTGCCAGCCGCCTGTCACCGGGGTGAAGGGCTCTCCCAGCCCGAGAATGAGACGTGATTGATGAAGAGCCAGGTCCTGCTCCTCTTCCTTTCGTTTTCTTTCTGGAATCCAGCGCATTTCCCACATTCTTATTTTTGTTTACTTACCGAGGAGTTTGCTTCGTGGCATCTATTTGGTTGTGAATAACCACGCTTGACAGGGAGCCTTTTCTTCCGAGCTACTTTTCTTTGGTGATTTAGTTCCCTTGAAAGGATTAGGGTTTCTTTGTGTAGCCTAAAATCAACATAGGCTTTAGGGAGCTTTGCTTGGGAAACCGTACACAAATAAGCTTTTTAGTTGATGGTAGATTATTCCTTTGCCCCTTATTTCCATCAAAATGGCGTCTTTCTCTTCTGCTTCTGAGTTTCCCCTTAAAGCCATATGCTAATTCCTGTTGGGAACATGAATGACAAGGGGAAGAATCAATGCAAATCCAGGTGCGGCAAAACTAGGCTGGCTGGTAGTTGCTTTTTTATTTTTATTTTTATTTTTTTTCACTGGGAGAGATTAAGGGCGGTGGGGGGGGGAAGGCACGGGGGAGAGTTTTGTTAAAGGGATTAGCATTCAGCCTGCTGAACAGGAGGAAAAGTTGCTCAGAAAGCTCCCCGTTTTGGAGATAATGTCAGTAATTGCTGGCAGACAGGTGCGGGATTGCCGCGAGGGCGGCGGGTCCTCGCCCGTGTGCGCCRGGGTGGCTGGCGGCTGTCGAGGCGCTGTCACTTTGATGTATTTCAAGTTCAAGTTCTCGTGGTGCAATTCAGCCTGTTTGCTTTAAAGCCGGTTCTTTCCCCCGCCCCGTGTTGCTCGTTGTTTCTTTTGCCAAAAGCAATAAAAATCACTCTTGAGAAAGGTCAGATCTGCACTGGATAAATCAGGGTGAGACTCTGCAGAGCTGCTGACTGACAGAGCGACATGAGAGGTACAGAGAGGGGACAAGTGGCCAGACCATCTGACAGCCCTCAAAGCTACCCAGGTTTTACACGTGTTTTTTTGACTTGTCCCATTTATTTTATAAATCATAGCTAGTTGAGGTAGCAGGTACTACAGGAGTAACATATACATAAAACACTTGGAAATCTTGAAGCATTTGGGGTCTTGTGGCTGCATTTTATCTGCTTTCTACCGTTCAATTGTTTTATTAGAGTAGGAGTTTGTGGCTGAAACGGAGATCAAGCTCGTGCTGTGCTCTGATTAGTATGACATCGAGTAGTCATTTCGAAAAATRATAAGAAAGTGTAGGGGAAGAGGAAAGAAGGGAAGAAAGTGTCCATGAAGTATCATGGATTTGGTCCCTCAACTCCCATGTAGGAGTTAACTGCCCTTAGAGTCCAATCAGAAGGTGCGTACCTGGGTGCAGATGGGTCCTGAAGGTTTGAGGAGCTGACCCATGGGTTTGGGGAACCCCGTGGTGCATGTGATAGCAGAGCATGGTTGGGGCGTGGGAGCTGTTGAGGAGGACGTGGCTTGGTCACTGGGGCAGGAGTCACAGCTGCCATTGGGATGAGTTGTCCCTTGCTGTGAATGAGAGCCCCCAGGCCTGTCGGGCAGCCGGGAAATCTCTCCACTGTGGTGTTCACACCTAGGAAGCCTAGAGACTGAGAGCCCTTCGTAACATTTGGAGAAGGGGTTGAACTGTTAAATGAATGAGTTGAGCCAGTAATAGATGAGAAGTCTTACCTTCCCATTAGGAGTAATAAACCAAGTATGTGATTTCTGCAAGATCTCGTGAGCYTGTGGAGAAGTCGGGAGCTGAGCTGGGACCTTCTGTGCCTGGGAGCAACCAGGGCGCTTGYGCTCCCTCCTACCCACTCAAATGCTCATGTTCATTAAGTGCYGGGGCTATCAATCTACTCAAGAAAATTGGTGGTGGGATGTGTCCGTGTTTCCCAYGCTGCTGAGCCCTGTGTCAGCCTTTCAGATGGGCTTTCTTGCGACATTGCTTTGATTTGCTCCAGGGTATCACCGAAGCGCAGCTCCAGCTCTAGTCCGTCCCCTTCTTCCATACTGCATATCCCATCTGATCTCRGAATCGCTGCTTACGGCCTTCCAGTGGTTTAAAAAAACATGTCAACTCTTCCATAGCGTCTCAGTGTCAACCTTAATAACATTAATTCTGTCCCAAATACAGAGTTTTGTTCACTAATGTTTATAACATAACTTCGCAGCATAATGAAGTTTTGTTTTCTTTTAATAATTAAAAGAGACACTTCTGAAAGTTGCTCCATGGAGCAGGCAGCTCCTCCTATTACTGTGGATTTAATTTATGTTAACTGCCTCCTACTTGCCTTTGGAAAACAGCCCTTCCTGGAGGGAGAAAAGAGTCCCAAAGTGGTGAAGTTTCATTTGTGCTGTATAGTGAAGTTTGCCTTTGATCAGAAGCACAATTGGGCTGTTAGAGCTTTTTATGTTCAAATTGTTTACAGGATGTTCATGTAAACTTTATGAATCCTTCTGCTTTGTGGTACCACCAGCTGTCAGGGAAATATTTATACTCTCAGCTGGAGACAGATCAAGGCATCTGGGTTACTAGTCCTCACTCGTGGCTGAAATGCTGGTTGGATCAAGCCCTGGCTTTTTTGGTGGTTCCAGAGCAATATCCTTCCCTAGAAAAAACAGGCATGCTATTTTCTCTTCCCTCAYCATGAGTGAATCATTTCTTGAGAATCCTCTACAGCATCTGTTTCTGTGAATGAGTAGGGAGCTCGACCAGGCTGACGCTTCTTTCCTGAGCCAGTTCACAGGAGACACTTGGCTCTGGAGAAGTGTCCTCTCTCTAGGTGAGCCATCCGCATAACATCTCACGTTGGATTGAGGTGAATCCACTGCAGCACGGATCGCATGAGAGCAGCCTTCGCGCAACGCGTGTGCCCAGGAGCCCAMTGCTTCTGCCTCTTCCCACCAAGGTGTCCACAGGCGCCCGCCTTGGGTATGCTCTTAGCTTCGCTTTGGACTTCTTTGGGGCTGCTGTCTGCATAGTGTGGTCTTCCCCACTACCCCCTTTTTCCTAAGAGGAATGCTATATTGCCGTTGGGATCATGGAGCAATCCTGCTGCCGCAGGAAAGACAGCAGGCAGACAAAGAACGTCAGGGACTGTTGAATCATAAGAGCAGCTCCACAGACTTCTTTTTTTGTGGCTGTTAAGATGGCCTGACCTCCCCAAAATGAATGCCTTTCCAGTGGAGAGTTTGCTGCTGGCTTTGCATCACTTGATTGCCCTGCGTTTTGTGGGTTTCGTGTGATTTGTCAGTATTTTCCATACTCGCCGTCTCATTAGCGAGAGACTGAGCGTTTGAAGGAGTGTGCTGCTTTGAAGACCCAGGTTTCTTGTACCTGCAAGATAGATTAGAAGAAACGCTGCATTGCTTCCCTGTAACTTCCAAGCCAGGCAGACAAAAGAAAAAATCAATGCATGTCTTGAGATGGTCCTTTGTCAAGTACACAAAACAGCCAGACGGTTTTATTTTTGTACCGTGAAGGCTTTATCTGAGCAAGGAGCTCATTGCCTCGCTTCCCGCTGCTCCTGCATCTCGCGTTCACGCAGGCCTGTCCGGAGGAAGCTTCCCAGGTCTGCTGCCCTTCCCGTGCTGGAAGTTCTTGGTCTAGCGCT